TTTTTCACTAGAAGAACACCAAGGTCATTTCTTCACGAAATTTCACACATGAAAACAAAATTCAATTATGTTAGCCATGAATAAGATTCAGAATTATTTGATATTTCTGATACTTTTTAAAATTAAAATGCTATATAGGGTGTGCGTAGAACCATGTCCCAAAAATCTGCAGTGCTCAGGTATCTCCTTAATGTATATGCTTTGCATCGTTACATGTCATATGTCATAAGGCGTCCTACCAAACTGGTAATAAAACCTTCACACATAGTTCATGAGAAACACATAATTTGATAGTAAAAAAAACACAAATAGAAGTAGTTGCATCTTTGATGACATACTTCTAAAGCGGCCAAATTTAGGTAGTAATTTCTTGTAATGCCTTCACATATAATTTATCTTCTAGTTATGTGAACTTGTTGTTGGAAATTTGGAATTACTGTTGAATATGTTTTTAGCACTATAGTTGGATTTGGTGTATACGGAGGGTAGGCATTTGAGTAAAACACATGTAACCCATACATAATACTCCCTCCGTTCCTAAATAGTTGTCTTTCTAGACATTTCAAATGACTACTACATACGGATGTATGTAGACATATTTTAGAGTGTAGATTCACTCATTTTGCTTCGTATGTAGTCACTTGTTGAAATGCCTGGAAAGACAAGTATTTAGGAACGGAGGGAGTATATAAAAGGGATTGTGGATAGCCAAAATAGATAAGAAAAAGATGATAGGCTTGACACATGATCATGAAGGGGATGGTACAGGCGGATGTGGAAGGGGTGACCGGACCCTCCTGTAATGCGATGTTTGTGATGTGTTTGATGACCTATGCGGGTTTTTTATTATTCATTACACTATGTCCATTAAGCACATGGGAATGAGCATCCTTAATCATCCCACGGGCCTATGTAGGCTGACCGCTCAACCTCATTGTCAATTGCCGCATCCCTCCTCTAATTGCCCCAATGGTCTACTCGCATAAATTCTAACAAGTGGTACCGGCACTATGTTCCATATTGGATCATTGTGATCTAGACAAAGGGAAAGGTGGGCTTCTACCAGAGTGTACGTAGGGAGAGAGAGCTTCTACCAAAGTGTAGGTGTGGATGTCACAATTCATGATTGTGGAGTGAGATGTAGTTACTCACTTTTATGCATGGCAGGTTATAGCTCTCCCCACAGAGCTGCATTGAGTAATTTTATGATCATCTCACAGAACTACCGATGTAGTTACTCTATAAATTGGTAGTTCTACATATACGACGATTCCGGAGAGCTTCTACTGAAGTTACTCAATTCATGGTGATTTTATGGCAGGTAATATGTAGAACTACCGATGCATCATTGTCTCCTATTGCCTCTCACCCACATCTTCTCCCTTTTCTGTGCAATGTGACAGTGAGGTTGCCAACACTATAAATTAATTGATCTAGTACATAGAAAAAGAGTTGCACAATACAAAAATTTCGGATAGAGGTGGCACCATATACACTAACTCTTTACCCTAGTACTACTTAGTGACCCTCTGCTAAGAGCGTAAGTCCGACTCTTATAAAACATCATATGAAAACTAACAAAGCATGACTAAACAATATAAATAGAAGGTGCCATACAAAAAACAGACGATGGCCTACTGTGATGCTTCGTGACACGTCCTACTTTGTTGCTCTCATG